ATTATTTAAATTTCAACAACAAAAGTACAATAACTTTATAGAATATTACAGGAAACTGAGACTCTTTTAGGGTTGTCACAATAGATGTTTATCATATCATATATTTTGTATTATTTATTCAGTGGTTTTTCAATTTTTTTCGTTTTTGCTGGTAAGTGAAATCCCCAAAATAGAATCCATGTGAATAATTTAACACATGCATATTTTTCCCATTCATTTTGACTACACATTGAGGCTTTCAGCAGGTGATGACAATGCTGCCCGGGATACCTTGTAAAAGAAGTTCAAATGAGCTGTTCACCAAACAACTAGTAGTGTGTTCATCATGGCTGAAAGACTGAATTCTTCGTCCTATCAAATATTTCCTTGGCAAATCACACCTCGACTGCTTCAAACTGAAGTATTTAATTGCTAAATGATTCATGCTGTGCAATAAATTACCTGTGTCACACTATTATAAGTAAATCTCAATGTACTGGTAGCACTTATTATTTCATTCAGTTTTTATTGAATCCTGCTGTTTCTAATTCACGGAGTACTAATAAAGGTTATTTAGAATTACTTGTGAATCGTTTTTTCTTTTATTAAATGTTTGTATAAATTTATTACATTGAAATATCCGACCCTTCTTATTTGGTATAAATCCCCCGGCGTAATACCACCGTATCTGGAGCGTATTTTACATACAATGTAACTAAATGATGTTTTCCAGTTGTGTTGAAGGCAGGAACTGACAAACAGATCATTCATGAGTTGAAATAGTAATGTAAATATTGAAATACTTTATAAATATGCTGGTAGACTGCCGGCTTGCATGGTTATAAACTAAATACATGTAGTGAATGCAAGGCGCCTAACTGTAGTCATTGATCTCAGAGTATATTTTTCCTTGTACAACTAGTAACCCTATCCTGCATAATCATCTTACTCTCGGCCAATTTAAAATAATTCTCTTGAAAAGTCAACATCAAATTACATAATAATAGATGATGAAAGAAACTTATTAATGCTTGATTACTGAGGAAGTTATCAAATTAATACATTGACACTATTACACTAATGCATAGCGAGATTGCTTACTGCTGTTTTATTTGTTTGATCGGCATAATGAAGAGACACTTGAATTATAAAATAAATATTTATGCAGTGAAATATGTAGTACGTCTTTTAGAAGTATTTATAGTAGATTATAATCTAAACCTATTTTGTTTGTTTCACCGTAGAGATATAAATATCTCTTATTTTACAATGTGAATATATGGTAAAACATGTCTGGGTTGCGATCATTAAAAGATATCATGCATCTCCAAACAATATTTACCATGTACATGAATTCATTATTACAGTAGATGACAGCGAGGAAAAGTCTCAAAATTGTTTCAATTTCTGGTGGAAAAAATTGAATTAATGGCCTATATGTACATGTACATGTAGTATAAAAAAAATGTACATTTTTCAGAAACTGTAGATGTGGGCATTTTCGCATACATATATTCAAAATTTAAGTAATCCTGTTTATCGCAAAAGCACAGTTTACAAAAGTGTGGAATATAATAAATAAATTGGCATTACACATGTTGCTTTATATAGTGCTGCTGGATATTCACCACTGAGGGCGCTGCCTTAAATTATGATGTCATAATGTAAATGACATACTATGCAAGAACTATCATGTCTAATTCCCCACCTGCAGGCAACACATAACACGTATAACCCAGTCAATATGCATTTAAATCTGTCACTCATTGCAGAAAGTCTTTCCATTGTAACAAGCTTAAGTCCCAAGTAACAACATACCAAAAATCTGAAAAGAGGATACAATTAAATACACTCACGTTATTTATTCCAATGTAATTAAAAGCCCAAGTGCTTAAACCAATAATATCTGTTCAATTGTTGACGAGAAAGTACACCTGTGCACATGCCATATAACATGTAAAGGTACCACAAATTTGTTTATTTTGTGATATCTTCATTAAAATGTGCATTGCTAACAGCGGAGATATCTCAGCTGAGAGGCTGCTAGTTAACTACTATTTGATGGCTAGTTTATAGCGTATAAATACCTGGCATTTACTAGATTTCTAATTGCTGTTCTTAATACATGCATGTACAAATCTTACTCACAAGCCTCATCCCTAATAGATGCTTTACCCATTCTTTCTAAACAAATGAGAATTTAGAAATTATCAGTTTCACATGCATGTATGTGTAGATGCTCTGATGGAAGGTGCATCACCGGTGTTGCATTGTACCATTTTAGAAGAAGCCATGGCTTCTACCGGATTCTGTCGTAAATTGGCCCTGGGCCATTAAACAGCAGTTTGGGTTTAAAAAAAAATAAAATGGGACCAAGAAATCAGGGCGATCATTTTAATGTTTTAATGTTTATTTTTTAATGTTTTGGTGTCATTTTTCGAACATTTCAATCTTTCCTGAGGCCTAAAATAAACTTAAGTTTTATCATACAGTAGTCATTGATGCCTATGTTTATTGCGACTAGCATAAATGGGTAAGCTTCGTTTCGACAATGAAATGTTATCACTGTAAACAATGTTAAATTATTCACTTCAAATGCTCAGTTTATCTTTTGAAAACAAATCAGGTCAAAGAACACCATCCCAGGTCAACTCATGCAAAACATCTTTCATGTCGGGTGGTTGAACTGCTAGTGTTTAAAGTCTGCGTTGGTGGATTTTTCAATGAAAATAGAAGTCCCAACAAAATATTTGATAATCATTTCACCCCAAATAAGGGCCTACCAGCCGTAAAATCGTCCAGGGCAATTTTTTGGATGGGCCAATTTATGACATAATCCAGTAATAGAGATTTTACATAATACAAAAACTGTATGTGATATGTATACATACTGGTAGTTTAACTTAGTAGTATATACCAAAAAACTGAAATAACAGATTCACATATATATGTACATGTATATACAGTATTTTTTATGCAGTCTGTGGCAGAGATAAGTCTAGTCTTTTTTTGGTGGATACAGTTTTCTCCCCAATTAGTTTCAGTGCATGTTGTTATTTTCGTCATAAACTAAAAATACTGTACATTTTTTACACAACCAGAGATGCCATTGATAATAATTCATACTAGTATAGTCATGACAGTATTTTGTAATTTTTAGTATTATTTGCTCTTACCTCAATACTTGGTGCTGTTTTCCCCTCCATTATCTTTTCAGTGCATAGTTCTGTTCTCATCTCTGTAACTACTAAACTGCATGTAAAACGAACATCAGGTCGAACCATAGTGTTTATGGTAATGTTGAAATTCATATGCACTGCCCCTATAAAAATAGAAGTAAAAAGGAAACTCATTGAGCAGATGGTTTCATGTGATGTGATGATGTGATATCATAATACTTACACTTCCTTTCTTGTGTCTTTATATGAGAACCTGTGTGGGAATACCAAACTTTAGTTCCATTGGGGTTTATGCTTTGAAAGTTGATATTTGTTAGTGCACACCCTTCTCGTAACATTTGAAGATACTTGGCGTCAGTAATGGGTATCGGTCCACCAGGTCGATTCTATCATTGTGATAGACGGTATATTGGTTATGCACCGTGCTCTATGAATATGACAATGGATGTCAGGATTAGTGTCACACCTGATGCATATGCCGAGAGGAGGGCTAAATATCTGGTAAACTTACTCTAAAACGAGAATTATTTTGCATTCCTAGATTCATGGAAATTTTTTATATTTTTAGATTTTCAGATTTAATGGGAATTGTGTTTTACGTATTTTATGGCATGGATATATGTGGGAAGTTAGTCCTAAACATTTTCAACACAATCATTTGACTTGTTATTGTTTTGGAATCTGCTTTTGATGTCCTTTGCATGGTTCTCTGTGATTTAGCCATGTTCAGATTTACTGTGACCCACAGTAAACAGCAAAGGGCATACCTGCAAATATTTTTACTTCAACTCACATACACTTATGAAATTTGAAAACATTATGCCTCAATATTTCAGTAACACTAATACTTGTAGGTAGGAGATTAGTTCTGCTAGAGTCAGTCTAAACTCGTAAAAATGACATGCATCTATGTCAGCATGTGTTTTGTAATATCTTTATAAAGTTTGTCTACATTTACATATTGTGAAGGAACTGTGGTCATAAATACATGTGTTCAGTCAAATTTCACTCCTTCCGTGTTCACTTCCTTGTTGATCTAGGAGGCTGAATTGTTTAGTGTTGCATGACATTTCGCCCCACTTTCAATTCACCGAGTGCCATTGTCCATTTTTTGCACTTTCACAAAATATTTTTGTACAGTCTTCTGACATGAAATCTTGCTAAAAATTGACAAACTTTTTGATCAAAAACTATAAAGCCAATGTCAGATACTGTGTATATGATTTAAAAATATGTTGAAATGTACAAACAATTTGTAAAATGTGTAAAAATATTTTCACTAATACATGTATTTACAATGAGTGAAATTCGTTAAAATTATAAATAGAACTTATTGTTTAACTTTTCGAAAGCCAAAGTTGACTTACATCACCATTCTCAAAATTTAACCGAAATGATTTTTTCTAAATATTTTAATCAAGACATGTAAAAATTCTGAAATTATGTATAGTTGGGTAAAAAATAAACATGAAATTCTAAAAAAAAATGCATAAAAATGTGCGAAATATTGCATCAAAATTATGGCGGGAAAAAATTATGGCATTTAAATAAAGTGGCTATGCTCAACATCTGAAGATATTGAAATTAACTACCAGTGACAATTAATGACTCCACAGTAATATAATTAGTTACTTTAACTTAGCAATTGACTGATTATTTCTTTATTTACATTTCTATAAATTCAATGGAAAGATTAAGTAGTAAAAAAAAAGTGAACAATATATGTACTTTGTCATTGATATATGTACTGTAAAATGACCTCCAGGTTTTTAAAGACTTACAAATGTATGACTATTCATTCATCCATCGATAAAAGTGTAATTCTTTTTGTTCCCTCTCTAGGCGTCTATGGACTTACCGCCTGATAAAGCCAAAGTTTTAAAATCCTATGAAGATGAAAAGAAATGGGAACTTATATGTGATCAGGTAACTCAGGATTACTTTCACTTTTCATTAAAGATGCAATCTCAAGGTTTTTCCTATAACTGTTTTTGGGACTGCTGATAATATGTCATAAATTAATGTATACATGCGAATATGAGATTCATGGATTCGCTCTTGTTCCAAATCACTAAGGTTAACAGTAATTGGATTTGGTGTGAATATTTGTGGAAATAAATTTGATCAGGCAAACTAGAAACAACTGAAAATCGTTGAATCTTCATTCCAACAAATATTTCACATACTGTGTTAGTTTCAAGAATCTAATAAAGGTTTAAGAATACTTATCCTGATAATTAGTCCCCGTTTGAAACGTTGACTAATAATTCAGTCTCTACCCGTCTAGAGTCGTATGTCAGAACCTTTTGGGCCAAATCTGTTCATTCTTTGCATGTGCCTAGTACTTTATCTGGGACTATTGCACATGCATTGGTTTACTGATTCAATCCAAGATGACAGCCATCTTGCTTTTTGGCCATACTACAATATCTCCAAGGCTTTTGGACCATTTTCATTCATATTTAGCACATTCATCATACATATTGAAATACATGCCCATATCAGTTTGTTCCAGTATCAGATCAAAAATTGGTATCCATCTTGTTTTTTTTTTTGAAAATGTGATTTTTTGGACAGGATTTGTTGGTTTTTGTTCAAATTTTATAGAAACATTATACATGTTGAGATACATGCCTGTGATGATTTGTTAAGTGTGCGAATCCGAAATGACCAATTGGCAGCCATCTTGTGTTTTTAGCTCCGCTGTTGACTTTGTCGAGCGGAGCTTATCATATGAGTGATTATCCATCGGCGGCGTCAGTCGTCGTCCGTGTCAATGTTTTACTTTTTCGACTTCTTCTTGAAAACTACAAGCCTGAATGCTTTGATACTTGGTGTATATGTACCTTGGGTAGACCTCTCTCAGATTTGTTCATTTCATGATGATATATACAATTCTCTAATTTTGGTGAATATTTTTGTCATTTTTGGTAAAAAGTGATATTTTCAACTTCTTGTTAAAAACGGTAAGTCCAATTGCTTTTATATTACATATATAGGTACTACATGTGGACTTCTCTCAGATTTGTTCATTTTGTAATGATATCTTTAATTCTCTAATTTAAGTGAATATTTTTGTCATTTTTGGTGAAAAGTGATATTTTCGACTTCTTGTTAAAAACGGTAAGTCCAATTGCTTTTATATTCCTTATATAGGTACTACATGTGGACCTCTCTCAGATTTGTTCATTTTGTGATGCTATCTTTAATTCTCTAATTTTGGTGAATATTTTTGTCATGTTTGGTAAAAAGTGATATTTTCGACTTCTTGTTGAAAACCGCAAGTCCGATTGCTTTATATTACATATATACGTACTACGTGTGGACTTCTTTCAGATTTGTCCCATTGCTTTTTATATATATTGTTCATTTTCTAATGATATCTTCAGTTCTTTAATAGTAATGTGCATTGCTAACAGCGGAGCTATCTCAGCCGAGAGGCTGCTTGTTTTTAAATGTCTTGTTGACAGTTTTTTTTTCTCTTCAAATTATACATTTTAGGATACATGTCCTTGACAATTAGTTTCACAATCAAGTCAAAGATGGTTGACTGCCTGCAATCTTGCTTTTTGGCCATAATACTATGTCTCCATACACGAGCCTGGGCAAAAGAAATTCATTTTGGATACAAAAAAATGCATGAATAGCATATCCTTAAATTTTTTATCATATATTTCGAGTTTGGGAGCGTAATTTAATACATCTAATTTCTGTTGATACTAGACCACCCATTTATTCTCTCAATTACTACTTATGCTTTTTGTTTGTACTTTATTTTT